ACAATGTTAAGTGTTATTGTTTATGAATAGTGGAACTGCATAGAAAAACACTAAAGCTTTAAAAATATATCATTGAGACTGACAGGAAAACAATTGTTTCCAGCTTGTTCCTCGATTGGATTTACGCTTGGTTTAGAGAAAATAAAACGGGAATTAAATAATGTGGTTGCATGGCATGTGTTACGTTACATGACAAGACGTATAAAGATAAAAATATTTATCATTTCTATGGCATAAAATGTATTATTATTTTAAAAAGGAATGATAAAAGTAGATAGAAGATGGGGAATTTTGGCAATTTTCGCCAAATACGGCGGGAAAATAAGTCGCTAAAACCGTTGTCAGCTTAGCGATATCTTGATAAATTACCGAGATACCCATTTAATCAATGTTAATTGGATATGCCCTTGTATGTTTACTTTTCCGGCATAGATCGTATCTTAAGATTTTTCATGTTACATTACGTAGCAAAATACAACAGTTTCACAAACGATTGCACTAAAGTCATCTATCTACGTATAAGATTCGTAACGATATTGTAATTTATTTTATATGAAATTCAGGCTCATCATTTTTGTAATCTTATTGCAACCGAGCAAAGAATAGAGTTAATTTTTGCTCGAAAACTGTAGTAACTGTAACTAATAGTTAATTACTTTGCAAAAGTTCACGAGTGTTTTGTGTAACTGCTTCGTGCAGTAACTTTGAACCGGAATTTCTTTAATTTTGACAATACTTTTGTTAGTCAACTTCAAAACGAATTTATGTATGATGGTGATAAGTAGAATGAGAGATATTATTTTAAAATCTATATACCCATATTCATATTCGTCTATATCGGTGGTTTTCAAACTTTTTTGCCCTGAGCTCACCTTTCACCACAGCTTGAAAATCATCCTCTCTTCCTTTTAAAGCACAAAATATACATATACATTTGTTTTTATTTAGATTATGTTTTACGTGTTTTTATAACTTAAACAACAATAAGTATAGAAAGTGTTGATAAATACCAAGTTTAAAGTGTTTTTTTTTTAAATTCATAAACTAAAACTAAATGGGTGCAGCAAAATGAAAGGCTGAACGTATCCCTACCCCCAAGTTGAGAACCCCTGTTTAAAAAATTCATTTAGTTATTCAAATTTATTAGCCTAAAGGCGGCAAATTATTTTTAAGACCTCTTGAAGAATATAGGCCCGTTTATTTCAAGAGATTATTTTTTGATATCCTCTTGAAATCACAGACCTAGTTTATGAAAACAGCCGCATTTATGGCTTAATTTTAACTATTGTTGACATATAAATGTGCATAACGTCAATTCAGAGTTATGCAAAAGAACATGCAGACCTGTAGAGGGATTTGCACATAGACATATATAATGAAAATGCGTAATTTCAGAAGAAGATTATGGAAAAGAACACGCAGAAGATCAGCGAGATTTATGTTTAAATACACGAGATAAATGTTTACAGTTTCAGAAGAAGATTATATACATTAACAAGTAATCACAGAAGGAGATTTGGTGTACGCAGAAAACATCACGGAAGAAAGCGTCGTGGAGAAAACAACACAAGGAGAAAACATTGTGAAAGGAAAGAAAGCAAGAAGAAAATATCGCAGTTCTAAAACATGGGTATAAAACATCGGGGTAGAAAATATAGCGGTTCGAAAACTTTAACAGTTTTAAAATATTGTTGTAGTCGTATTAGCCATCGTTGTAACCGTATCGGTATAAAAAATAAAGCACCTACAAATCGTCGCATGAAGATAACATCGCATATATGCGTTATCAGATTATAAATGTATGCTCGCCTAACTCAAAGAAGCGCAAATTTATATCCTGTATTCTTACTTTTCAGTATGAGGATTATTTTTACTTCTGTATTTTATATTTTTGCTCTAGCTAATAAATTTTAACTGAAAAAGCAAGGTTAAAAAAATTTTAAACTTATACAGTTAATGAAAATAAAATGCTCCTACAGATGGGTGATAACGCAGTAAAAAGCACTATTTTCACTTTTACAGCTGAAGAAGCAGATTATGTCGTCAAACTTTCGAAAGTAGTACTACAGACTTAGAAAACTTTCTGCTGATTTCTATTGCCTGAACACTCTAATAATTATGTAGTTAACTATTAAAATTAACTATTTAATTAATCTCTTTTATAAAATTATATTATTAGTTTTCCATGAAAGATATTAGCATTAAATTTAAACTCATTTTTAGTTTTTTAAATGTTAAATTTCCGCTACCAATCCAGATTCATAAAAGATATTAATTAAGCTATGGACTCTAATAGTTAAACTATATAACTTTAAAAATTTTATTAACAGCTACACGAAGGATTAATTTTTAACTCGTTTTCAGTTTTTGAATGCTTCACTTTCCTTCTTGCTTTTACAATAAAAATGATTAGTTAATTTAAAAATACGAAATACGGAAGCAAAAATATTCTCAATTCCTTCGAGTTCATAAATCATTACGCGAACAAGCATTTAAAAAAATTTTGAAGTCTGGAAACGCATGCTGTCCTCTTGCAATGATTTGTAGGTGCTTCATTTTTTAACATTGCATTTTGTAAGATACTGTTTGAAAACTGTTTTATAAAGCTTTTGTATGGTTTTATTTTCTACCACGATATTTCTAGAACTCTGTTTTCTCCTTTCTTTTATCACACATTATTACGACGACGTTTTTCCCTTGTTTTTGTTTTTTTGTTCGCGATATTTTTGAAAATGGTTTCACCCATAACTTGAGATTAGCACTCCACCACATGGAATAAGCGTGCATAATGCTAAATAAAGATGTGAGGATCTATTTATTTTAACTAATGGATAATTGTTAGTTAAAATGACTTTCCTGTCACTCTCCTTTCCACTTACGCTTTCCTGCCAGAGTGTAAATTAGTTAGCACGCGTATATTCACATTAAGGGAGAAAGAAGTGCTATTTAAGAGAAGGTTTCAGAAATTGATTTTAGAGCGTGTTATACCTGCTTGAAAGCCACGTTGTTGCCCTGACTTAATAGCTCTTTGATTCTGAGGCATTGAGTGCTTCTAGCCAATTAGGCTTGTTCCGCCGACTTCTACGAGCCAGAGCCTTCTTGTGCGTTTAAATTATCCTGTGAGGCGCAGGCTAGACTAATTACATTTTATTTTACGTTCAACATTACTTGTTTAAGTTAAGCCAGATGCGTTGGCTTATGTAGACCCATGTAGGTCATTAGTGAACTCTTTGTGATCGAATAAAGGGTTATTTACACCCTTCTCCCTGACTTTGTCTAGATCATAAAACCAGAAGATAATGCCTATACGGTCTTTCTAGAGCTCGTTAGTTTATGCTAACTAAGAATACGAGACTCTATTGTGGTGACCGGCGGCAGGTTGCGCTGATGCCTCATGCCTCCGTGTAATGATTAGTACATTTGTTGAGGTCGCATATTTCTTACTGCATTTTGTTGAACGCAAAATATATTTATTACAAATTTATGAGAAGCTTCAATACATTATAACATGAGAAGCATAGAACAATTAATATAGGTAAGACTACCATCATTGCTATGGGAAGATCTGGCTAACGGTGGGTGTCTCTGGTTGAGAGTTCCAGAGCATTCTGTCGTGTTGTACGGTTGGAAACAATCTGCAGGCTGAATTAGCCCCGCCTCTTCAGCTTTTCAGTTTTATTTTACATCCTCTGATCCGTTATATCTGGAGCAATATCAGAGGAAACAGAAGGTCATTGGTTGGACAGCCTTCCTGAAATCGAGAGGCTTTAACGACAGACACAATAAAGAACGCTAAAATGTCTTGAAACTGGCCTTGAAGATATGTATGTCAACCAGAACGAATTATTGCGTCTGCGATGTTAGGCAATGTCGTTTCACACATCGTAAACAGCTTGAAAAGAGTGACTTGCGGGCACCACACACACGATTTTCTCAACCCTGTGTGTCCTCAGCACTATAAAGATTATACAAACACACCTACAGATTTTTCCCGCGTAACAACGTGAAATAAACACGCATAGTTTTAGTTGAAGATATGAACACGTCGGTATATTGAGCAATATATACAAATACAGTGGTGGCCAAAATTGTGGACACTTTTGGAAATTTTTATGTTTTTGAACTTATGTTTTGAAAATTAAGATAAGGCTTTTTTCGAGGAATTCTACCTATCAGTCCAACGTCTGTTAATCTCCTGATTGTTCTTGAACTGACAGAAACACCAGCATCATTCAGATAACTTCCGATGGCCGCTGATGACATTTTTCTATCTTGGAGACATAGTCTTTTTATTTTTCCGTCATCAATAGATGTGGTGCACCTTTTTAGGCCTTTTCCTTCTTTGTTTTTTTATTGAATTTGTCTCCTGATATCGTAAACAAAACTTTCGGACTCCAGATGTAGTCACTGAACCACCCACCTGTCTTGCAATTTCAGCATAGGAAAGACCACTTTCTCGTAACACAATAATATTACATTTCTTTCTAGGTGCCCAATCTACTCTTTTATTGATGTCATTGCTTCTTGACTAAATATTAAAAACTTTTACAAAAATGCCTACTTGTAATTTCAGTGTATAAGAAACAGGTCCTCCTTCAACAGAACAAAGCAAAATAATGAATTGTTTCAAGTGTAAGCATGATGTCAGCTTCTCCTGGCAGTTACTAGCATTTGATTGGTTCTCAGAACAAGAACAGGGATTGGCCAGGAAAGCTAGACATTACAAACCACTTCATAACTGTGTTTTTTATTTATATTAAAATACATATAACTTTTTTTGTATTGCAAATAATTAAATTTTGTGTTTTGTATTGAATTCAGTAATAAATTCTCTTTAAAATGATATATACAAGTTTGCATTTTGCGAAACGTAACATTTTCTATAAGCTTACAAAGTTCAAAAACATAAAAATTTCCAAAAGGGTCCAGAATTTTGACCACCACTGTATATCTAGACACCTTTTTGCTGATGGTGTCTTGAAATCCATATAGGAACTTACCTGCTGCATATTCGGTCAGAAGATCTCGAAGAACTTCATTCCTCCCTGATAATTCAAGTGCTGAAGCACGAACAGAAAAACGAGCTCCTGTTTTTTGCCGTTGTTCGTAGATAAGTCGGAACAGCCACGAAATGGCGCAGGGCATCACACCAAGTTCTTGCACGGATTCGCTATTTCCCACCATTGTATGCGTTTTACCTGAAAGCAAAAAAGAAAGTAAAACTAATCAATGGATAAATCAGTTTAAAGAATTTTTCGAAGGTTTTTGAAACGCAATACACTTTAACAAATGTTAGCAATCAATACCGTAGCTGTCAAAAAGAATGAAATGCATTCGAAGCAAAAAATTTACGCTTAACGAATTTATTTCATTCCTAGCGTTTTTTATTGGAAGACTGAAGAATTCCTTTTCTCAGCTTATGAACTTGCGTCATAAAAATCAATGAATTTTTGCTTCAAAACGGAGATGAATTGTAACCCAAGTAATTGCTTTTTAGAATAGCTTAAATCCATCCAATAAAGCAAGAAATGAAAGAAAAGTTAAAAAAAATCATGCAAAGATCCAGTTGTCAGAAATATGTCAAAACTGCCAGAAATAGTATTCCAAATCTTTTGAACTTGATTTTTCAACTTCTTTTTTGTCCGTTAAAAATTAGTTTATTTCTTTTCGACTTGACATCGCTTTTCAAATGCATGTATCTTTACTTCAAAAATAGGATGAAGTAGACATCTTGAATTTTAAAATGCCTTTCAAACATAAAATTTAAGCATGAAGCGAATTGTACGCAAATGCTATCTAAATGACTCTTTGAGCAACTAGATTCATCGATATTTGAAACATAGTGAGAGAATTTAAGTACTTAGTGCAGTATAATGCGTATCCTTCAATTAAGATATAACTGAAGAGCGTACGAGGCTTTTAACATATTACTGAACAATAAACTCCTTGTCTCCTAACTTTAGGCCAAATTTGCATATCAAGAGGCAAACTCGTGGTTATAATATCGGGCCACACTCAATTCGTAGTTCGGACTCGCAGCTCTGGTTACGGACGTTTTTGTTAATTATTAGATATTTTTATTGTAGACAAGACAACGATTGTGGTGACAGCGGCTAAAATCTAACTCTTAACTTCCCACTGTTGCATTTGTGCAACATATGATTTATTTTAATTTAACAGACTCAATATTTTTTTTAATTACCTACAAATCACTTATCTAAGAAAAAAAGGTTACTGCAACGAAATACATGCTAAATTTGTCACTAGATAGCAGCACATTTTTTCCAGAAATCGCAGCAATTATAAAAATCTCTGTTGCCTCAAGAACTGTGTTTTTGCTATAAAAAGAATCCATTATATTTTATGCTTCCTCTTGTTCATTGACGAAAACAATTACCAGGTAAGAAATTTAAACATTTTATGTTCATTTAAAAGAAATTTCGATTTTCTAATAGAAAAAGTTTGAAAGAAATTTGATTTTAATTATATGTTGCAGATCTGCAACATTGGTCTTTGGCTACCATTTTGACATGGCCAAAAAGCGTATACTAACCCAAGATGAAATTGCTAGATATATGAATAATTTGGGCAAATTGAGTGATTTAAGTGATTATAGTCTTGAATATTCTGCTGATGATGTTCATTTTTTACATGATTGTGTGTCATCTAATGATGATTCGGATAGCGACTGTGAAATAGTGTTGTTTCACAAAATACAATTCAAAATATAAAAACATCCGATGATGATGATAATAAATTTGATAGAAATATTTCAGTCAGTGTGTGCTTGTGTGATTATGGCAAAGCCTCGAGAGCTATCTGCCTACGGGAAGGGATGCCTTCGTGGAGGATTTCCGAAGAGAAACTGGCTTGTATACAAGTTACACATGGGAAAAACCACGAAAACGAACTACCAGTGTTCGGCGACTTTACCGCTTGGCCGCTGGTATATTTCAGTCAGAGAACCTTTTTTAAATTTAACTGTTAAGAATAATAACACATTGTCAAAGAATATTTTATGGAAAAATCAAAACATTTCATTGATTGAAGAAGTAATAAAATTTCATGGAGATGACACGTTCCCAAGAGAAATTACGGATTTGGGCACTACGTACCATGCGATTTTTTAAATATTTATGGACGGACGAGATCATAAGTAACATTTATGAAGAGAGCAAACGATATACGCTATTCAAAAGAATCCAAGTAAGCCTTTGACTATATCAGAGAATGAAATAAATCAATATTTGGGTATTTACATTTATGCATCTCTAGTTCACCTGCCAAACTATAGAGCATACTGGTCAGAAGAGCTTGGATTTAATCGAATTAAAGAAACAATGAAGAAATCTGGAAATAAAATTTAAAAAATTCTAATGAATTTACAAAAATTCAAATCTGAAGTTGCATCATGCTTATGCAAAATGGGGTACGATCGAAATGCTAAAAGAGGAAGACCTAGTAATACTTCAATAGAACAAATGTCTCAGACTAAAAGATGCAAAGGGACTGCCCAATCCGTTCCATGTAAGGACATTTGCAGAGATGGTATAAATCATTGGCAAATATGGTCAGAAAAGAATACGTGCAAGTTTCCAAACTGCAAGAGCTACACTCAAACTGAGTGCGAAAAGTGTAAAGTAGGGGACTTTTTATAACAAAGTCAATAACTGCTTTAAAAGTTTTCATTGTATGTAAGGCTAAAGCAATTTATAACAATGAATAATAAAATCCTCATATGAAAAAAGTTTTTTAATTTTACAGTACTGCGCAATGTTGCACTTCTGCAACAAACAAAAAAATGACTGAAATTCAATTTAAAACTGCTTAATTTAAAAAAGAAAAATATTTTTTCCTTTTATTATTACTTAAGAAGTAGCTCATATAATTTTTCCATAGAAATTTAAAAAATTGGGAAGTTAAGGGCTAAACGAACTTGAAACTGGACAATCGAAGAACGAAATTAGTTAAATCGCCATGATTCCTATAGAATATGCTACTAATCAAACATCTAATTATTTAATACTGACTACAGTTTTTGGTGCTACGACAACGTATTTTCTCCCTATTTTTTGCATGCCTTCGTGGTGTAATGGTAGCACACTTGGCGCGTATTTGAGAGGTCCAGATTCGAGTCCTGGCAAGAGCTTTGCTCATTTTCTTGTCTTATAGATGAAAAAATCCTAATATCTTTACATTATCTTTAGAATATTTAAATCACCAATCCAAGGGAACAATTTTCCCTAAAACTAACATTTTAAAATCATCATTCCAAAGGAAAAATTTTCCCTAAAGCTAACATTTGTTTGCAATGCCATATGCAATTTCAGGCTTGATGATTATTCCATTCATACTGAAGAAGGTCCCTCCTGAAATGTTCGAAAAGTCTTTATTTTATGTTATTATTTGATTCCAAAGTATAGTTTGTTTACACATATGTATTATAGTGCTCCAAAGTATTGTATTTGTTGTAAATTTGGTATACAGTTACAGATTTTTGTATTTAATTTGATATTTTTGTAGAATTATAATTAAAATTGTTTTATTTCCCCGTCCAATGCAGCGCGTGACGAGTTTTAAGAGAAAAACTACGGCGAAAAGTAAAAAATACAGGAGCACACGCATTTAACATTTAATAATTAGATATCTCGTAATTGTACTCTTTTGATTTCCAGAAACCTCGAGAAAATACCAGAATGTTCTCGTGCATGATTAAAAAGCTTATAAAAGCCGAAGCAAAACATCTCAGGTCAGTTGTTTACTTAGTACTGTTAATTAATTGTAGCGAATTCGCGGTGAGATAGGATTAGCTTTCTCTGTGCGTCGGATTGCGTTATATTTAACGTTTTAGTAGTTCAAAATATAACTACTGTGAGATACTGTGATATTATGCGAATATCTCTGAGGACATATTTCAGCATTTTGTTTTATTTCTTGTGATAAGAATAAATTTTATTAATGTTTTATCATCTGACTTGTGCATTCAATCTATTACGAACCCGTACGCACGCAACAATGCATAAAGTTCAATTATTGTTTGAAAGTTTTCCAGTAAATGCGTTTGTCTTCCACAAGATTGATATTATGTATAGCCCTTAGCTGTATTGCAACTTCGTATGTTAACTGCAATAATGTTACGTTTTCTTGTTCTGTTGATTGTCTGTTCAAATTGTTTAGATTCATTTCGCCATCTTCTTTTTCCATTAGTTAGGCCTGCTTTTTTCAGACTCACGCGTATAAAGTTCTGGCTTTTACTTAAACCTTAATTCAGATACAAAAATGCTGACTTAAAATTATTGATGAATCTTTGCCTCTGCCATAATTTTTCCCTAAGCTGAAAATAGATAAAATAAGTAAAAGCCAAATAAAAATGTTTCATGTTATCTTATTGTTGGTAGAATTACATGATTATTCGAAACGGGAATGTCCATTGCCATCTACAGTTACTAAACTCAGGACTAGATTGCAGTTTAAATTAACTTCAAACTGCGTGTATTCAAGGAAAGTAGTACAAGTCAAAAGGATGCCTCTCGCTTAATTCTTTTGAAGTTATCCCAAAATAAATAAGTTAAACAGACCTACAAACAGCAGATCTTGATATCAGTGCAAAGACAAGAAACTGACACCAATAGAACAAGGGAAATCGGTGTCTTCCTTTGTACCATAAACTTATCCCAAATTGATCGTTCAAGTTGAGCAGAAATAAACCATATCTTTGAAGAGGAATCAGTCATAGTACAAACTGGTTCTGAGGTGTTTATGTTCTTCCAGCGCTGATTACCAAGCAACTGTTAAAGCCGATTTGAATTGGACATTTTATGTTTGAAGTTGCAGTATCTATGCTGCGTGTGCGTGGATCCGTGTAAGAATTCTCTTGCTTTTAGTTCCGCAGATGGCAGGCATTAATGCAAACGAAATGGCAGAAGTTACCACATTTTATTTCGAGAAACCCAAGAGGACTTTAAAATGTTATTGGAAAACTGGGACGATGTAGGGGCAGTGTTTGATACTCCGCCATTATTTGATGTGTGTGATATGAATAAAGAATTGTGAGGCTAAAGGAGCCCACAAACGAATGAAAGATGTGGAGACTGAGCTAGACATTCATAAAATCGAAAAATAAATACACAGATACTGGATGATATAAAATATGCGATTGAAATTATCTGTGGAAATTATATCTATGCTTGCCAATCTG